GTTTTCACCAAGATTCTGACATTCACCAATGTTTTCTTATCTGGGATTTGTTCTGTGTTCTGGGGGAAGAAGAGAATCTGCACACATTCAGGAGCACAAAGGTGCGGACAAATCTGCGGTTTGAGATCACGTCATGAATCTGGCGTAGACTTTTTCTTAGGACATTTCTTAGGAACAAATTTAAGAAAAAACTTAGATATTGGTGAACGAGGTCTACTGTGTGGTTTTATGTACAAACGGCAGTCATTTTTCATTCTCCATCCTCTGTTTATCCCTTCTTATTCAGCAGGTTGTTTGTACACTTTAGTTTCTACGTTTAGACCATTTAGGTCGGCAACCCAAATGTTGAGAAGAGTCATTTTGTCCTTTCAACAAAAATCAAACCACTTTGGGAAGCACAGCATTTTATGTTCATCCTATTAAAGTAACGTTGTACCATCTTGGCTGTTAACGTCTCAGTATGTGCTGATGTTCTAGTATAAGCTAACAAATACAAACAAAAACGCAGACTTAGGCCCAATCCCATTTCACCCCTCGCCCCTGCCACTTAGCCCTTAGCCCTCTGTTTTGCGCGTTCACGTCTAGGGGTAAGGTGTCCCAATTTTAGTTGAGATAGAGGGGTAGGGCGATGTGTTAGGGCTATATGGCCCTCCAAACGGAGGTTTTTCAGAGACTCCAAACGAAGTTTTATGAAAAAAAGAAAAACTGGCAAGATGGCTGAACAAGAGACCAAATAACCCACAAATGTGAGAATTTTCTCCATTAAAAATTACGATATCTAGTGTATTGTCTTCGTTTAATGTCGTTTCAATGTATTATGGTCGTTTTCTTCATAACAAGCAGAAAAAATCGCTAATAGCATGCTAATTTCTCAGCAGCTAGCTAACTCTCCCGTTCCACCTTAAATAGTCCGGCTGTATTGACGCCAGGAGCGCCAGAATCTAACTGCTGCACCATTTAAGGTGGAACGGGAAAATTCGAACAAGAAGTTAGTGAATAGATGCCTTCAGCTTCGTATCACCAAATAATTGGAGTGGGTGATAATAAATAATTGTCGTATCCCCCCTCTTTGAAGGCATATGATGCTCTAAATGTAACTAAAGCCCAGCTGTGAGGAGCTGAACTTCTCCTTTCTCTGCTCTCACTGAAGACGGGCTGGGTCGCCTGCAGAGCAGCGTTAGTAGGTTGTCAATGAAGCGATGTTTTTGTTTTTAATTTGAGGGTTTGTCCCATTTCGTAGGGCAAGTTTTTAACCACTACCCCTTGTAACTCAGTTCCAATGGGTTAGGGTGACACTCGAAAACAAGGGGTAGGGGTAAAAAGAAGAAATTGGATTGGGCCTTAGTTTGCTCTGCTTTAAGCTTTAGCTCAGTTACACCGGCAGGAAACTTCTCCTCAAAAGTAGAACCGTTTCGTGTAAAATGTCTCTCAATGTTTGTTTTTTGACGAGGCTGAAGTCGCTTCTCATTCTCCAGCTCCTTGTTCTGATTAAACGTATCAGGAAACCAGTTGGAGCGATTAAAAATACAAATAAGTCCATTCGTCTCCAAATTATCGCTGTTTGTCTTAAATCTCCCTCTTTGCCGTTTCGTTAGCCACTAGCTAGGCGAGACTGTTGTCGTTGCTATGGTGACCAGCAGTCAGCACGCCAATCTTCAGGGTTAAAGGGAGAATTAGCCGTTATTATCTACTTTAACTCCAGCGTTTAAGACCATTTATTGTTAAAACTGTGTTGAACGATCAGTAGAGCTTTATTTTACTGTAAAGGAGGATTATTTTATTTTTACCTACAAATCTAATTCAACTGTGGAGCCGCAACAGGGCAGTAAAAGAGCCGCATGTTGTCGACCCCTGGTGTGGAACTGGGAGGAATGGTTCGTGATGAAACGTTGTTTACATACTACATCAAACTGTTATTTTGAAAATAAATAAATAAATACAGAAAACGTGTTTTTCCATTATATTGTCCCTTTAAGAGTTTACACTGCTGCTTGTCTATAAATCACTGGGGTGGCTCAGGCCTACTCGAAGATTACAGACCTAACAGGCTTCTCAGATCAATAGGGTCAGAGGTCAGCTAGCAGTGCCTAGAATCAGACCCAGGCATGGCGACGCAGCGTAACACTTCATTTTACAGAACACCAACTGAGGCCTAAATCACTATGCATAAGCTTTATTCATTATGACCTGCATAAGTACACAATTTGAGGTCTATTATGTGAAAATCACTAATATTGCATTATTAGCTGTAATAATGCAGGTGTAATAATGCACAATAAGCACTCTGTTATCATGGAAAATCGTCTCTCTCTCCTTTATTTACAAGCAATATGTAAACAAGTTTCAAAATGTACCATTCAGTCCCCAGTCCATACAGTCCATGTATGGAAATGATCCTGCAAAACAGACTGGTTTGTTTTATGTGACGTCACAAAACAAACTCATTTACATATTTTCACCCAGCCAACAGCAGCTTAGCTCTGTTCATTCATACTGAAGTTATAATGAGCGTTTCAGCCCTGAGTACTTTTTGAATGTGGCGCAATATAGAGCAGTCAATCAGAACAGAGCTCATTTACATAAATCAGTCTTAAAGGCACAAACTGTTTAATTCTAAAGGATAAAGAGGCAAATGTTCATGTAAATTCTTGGCACATAAAAAGACACAAAGACAAATGTAGATGGGGGCCTTTTAAAACGTGCAAATTATTAGCATGACTTACTCAGCTATTCACATCTTGTTAATGTACAATTGGTTCCATTATATTCTTATAGGTTCTAGGTAGCATCAGGTGATTTTATGAGGTTAATTTATACACAATAGTTTGCATAATAAAGTCTAAACAAAGTGTCTATTGTGCATGATCATAGCTAATAATGCAATTATTAGACCTCCAAGTATGTAGTAATAAAGGTCATAACAAATAATGCTTAACATACAGTGAATAAACTGTTAATTTGTCCTTTATTAAAGACCTTAATAAATGTGCAATATGTTCCTGAAAATAAAGTGTTACCCAGCCATAAGCTCTTACGAGGCCAGAGCTGGAAGATCTCAGAAACACCACAAATTTGTCCAACTTTCAATCCAGCCTAAAGATGCCTCTTTTTCCAGTGCGTTTAACACTTAAGCACTTTCCAATTTATGTATTTTATTTCATTCTTATGCTGTTTACACAGTTTACAATTTATGTATTTATGAATTCCTTTTCATTAATTCATTTGTGAATTGCTATTATATATGAAATGTGACAATATAATTCAATTCTATGTCTTTGGCTATCAGGGCTTGAAAGATTACCAGTGTTACCTGATAGCAAATGACAGCATCTACAGATCTTATTTTTTTTTAGGTTTTTTTAGTCTGCTAAGAGGTAAATTACCCTGACCTTCAGTAATTATAAGACATTCTCTGATTTTCTTACTGCCCTCCTGCATTCCATGGTCAACGATGAACAAAATCTACTGGTGACCATTTAGCACAACCTGATTTGCTTAAGGCCAGTACTGTTTTAAATGCTTGAACAGAAATATTGGCATTTTTTGCTGTAAAACTTACTGTAGCCATCTGCCCTCGGCTATGGTGCCCATTCAGCTGTGGCGTAATTTTCCACAGTGACACACTACCTGCCATTAAGACTTTGCTCAAAACAGAATACTTAAGAACAATGCAGGGCTGCCTTGAGGAAGAGAAGAGAAAGAAAAAAAAAAGAAATGAGAAACACGGGCAGATGATTCACTTGAGTTTATTGAGGCCTGAGACCTTGTGTGTAAGAGGACAGATGGAATAGTTCTCTACATGGCTAAATATCTGCGCTAATAAAGGCATCATCCAGTAGCTCACTTTTTAAACGATAACTCATAGAATCATATTAGAAGCTCAAGCAAGGTTAAAATTTAGTTTATCGCTATTATTTAAAATCTATCAGCTATGTGCAATAAAATGGACTCAAGGTTTTTAAGCACATTCCCTGCTCCACACGCACAAATTCAATTCTTAACTTATTAAGGTTTGTAAGCCTTGAGAAAGCCACTTACATTTAAGAACATAGACAAGTTAGTCAATTCACTCTCCCACTGCTTTGTATTATACAGTTAAAGCACATCAACAAGTTTAAATGAAAATGAAGGACCTTATTTCTGTGGCAGCAGTGTCTAAAACCACATGCAATGATTCTGCCCCACAGTGCAGCCTGGTGTGTAGTGCTCTATTCTTTAGTGTATTGACAGTGCTGTAACTGTAAAGCTCTGAAAAGATAATGTTATAAGAGAACGCAAAAACATTCTTAACTTTAAATGTATGTTAATATAACAACATTTTATTCCAAGTAATTTTCTCTTAGCCTGTTCATCATGAAAGGAAAGCTGGTATTTTTAAATTGTATAAAAACTATTTTAAAAATGGATTTGATATGACAGCAACAATATAGCAGTAAAGCAGGCTGAACTGAGGGCCAGATTCCTGCACAGTTTGGTCATTTTCAGAGCATTTTGTCAGAATTTCAGCATAATTCAGTCACTGAGATGTAAATGGTCATTCATAATGGTCTGATTGGAAATGGTTCACCATAGAGAACCTTACCAACTAAGATTTCTTTACAGTGGTGGTGATGGGAACCAGGAGGCACAATGTCTACAACACATTTATAGTCATTTTATTTACTATCCAAAATGACAAGTGAAACTACATGAGTCTTTGCAGGAGTGTTTATATGTAATGTTATGGAATGGTTAATATAAGTATATCTGGAAAAATAATTTTTCCATTAACCCCCTGCATGTACCTCTCCCAGCCCATGAAGACCAAATATATATATATATATATATATATATATATATATATATATATATATATATATATATATATATATATAAAAAATGTAGCCCAAAACCAACTAGAGCTTCAGACGTCTGGTTCCTATCACCACCACTGTGAACAATTCTTACCCTTTAAGTTTCTCTAGTTTCTCTAGAATTGAGCATTTCACACCAAACCACTCTGAATGACTATGTTTACATCTAAACCATTTAATTATGCAGAAATTTTCAAAATACAGTGATATTTGCCTTTAAATGTATTTTAGCAGGAAAACAAACTACACTGAACTGTGCAGGAATCCAGCCCCCCAAGGGCAGCATATTGGTCCAATTCAGTCACCTTCCAGGCACTTTGGAATGAGTAAGAAACACAGGTCCTGCCACAGTCGTGCAATTCCACACGTGAAGCTACAGCCATATGAACATTTTGGACTCACACTGATAAAAAACTCTTTGACATTAGTTTAATCAGAGTTATTGGACAGCTCTAAATAGGCATATATAATATATCACTAGTAATTATTATTGTGATATTGGCCTTTGGTATTGCAAAAGGCTTCAATATGCAAATGAGCCATTCACAATGTTTTTACTGTGTGCTGTAAGCATTCAGACAGTTCCAGATGAGTTTGAATGAAGGTGTTCCTATAATACACACGTAAATTACTTGTTACAAGTAAATTACCTTGGTCAAAAAAGAGCAGGCCAATCGTTAACCACGTCACGTTGTTGATTCAACCATTCGTTTTCAATATACTATAAGGCATAATACCATCACAACAAGTAGCAATATAATCGCCATGCTGGTGTTTTGTCCATATCATGCAGCCCACAAACATACACAGTGTAGTAAAGTGTTTGTAGTAGTAACCCCTTAGAAGGACAATTCCACCTATTCAAAATCCCTGCATAATTAAATCATTGAGATGTCAGTCATTCAGAGTGGTTTGGTGTGACACGCTCCACTATAGTGAGACTTTACAGAGTCAGTACTGTTCACAGTGGTGGTCGATAGGAACCAGACGAAGAGTTTAATGCCTCTAAAACCTCCCTCACAGAAAGTCATTACATAAAATGGTAACAAATACACTGCCTGATGCCCGACACATTGGCGGAGAGGTACATGCAGGCAAAATATTTGCTACAAAAAATGTTTCACTATATTACCAACATCAACATTACATTAAAAACTCAGACAAGTGTAGATTCACTGGTGGTTTTGGATAGTAAATAAAATGGGTCTATTTGTGTTGTAGACATCAGGACCCTTGGTTTCTACCACCACTGTAAAGAAGACTGAGTCTGCAAGTTTCTCTACAGTGCACATCGAACCATCTCTAAGGGATGTTTACATCCCACAGAATTATGCAGAAATTTAGTAGTAAAAAAAAAAAATTCTCTTTAAACCAAGAGTTTAAGAAAGTGGTCAGTGGTCCCAGTAGTGTGTCAGTTGGCCATGTCTTCAATCCACATGCCTATATTTGGTGAAGAGGTTGTAGAGAACGCGAAGTGTCGATTTCAGGTCACAGTTCACAATATCTGAAAGGAGAAAGACAGGTGTTCAATTAAAGATGAACACATTACACTATGAATTAAATATATACATAATATGTATAGTATGTATAATCTATTACACACACACACACACACACACACACACACACATATATATATACACACACACACATCACTGCTCTCGGAAGAAAACCTCGTTCCATTGACTTACATTAAAAGTAAAGTAGGTGTTTTCCTTTTCCTGTAAAGTTACCATTTTGAAGATATTCAGAATTCAGTGCAACATGCCACAGAAAAGCACGTGTACTTAAATGCACAGTACACTGTGTTCCATGTTGTAGAGAAGAGTGCTTTGTATCACTGCAGCATTCACTGACACAACAAAATATGATTGAATGTATGGTTCCATTTTAAAACTAACAAAGAAATACAAAGAAATATCCATCTTACAGAACAAACATCATCCTCTTCTACAGAATGCTCTAAATACCACACGTCCTATTCATTTCTGAACACAGAACACACAGGCCTTTCATACATGCTACAAAGACTACTCTTAGACACAAAGACAAAACGTACCTGCATGTACAAACCAAAAGCAACAGAGATTTTTTTTGTACACAAACCACTAAGAGAGACAAATAGCAAAAAATCTCATGTCTTCTTTAAACAGTATGTATAACAAACCAGAACAGATGAAAAGCATTCCAGACAAACTCTGCACTTTACTTTTGCTTACAAACCATTTACACACACAGCAAAACTAATCACAATAACAGCAACAACAACGACAACGACTGATGATAGCTTGTTCACCTTCTCACTAGCTCAATACCTTTTCATTTTTGCTCGGGTAACCACTGCTGAAAATATACTGTACATAACTGGTTTAATAAAGTATACAACTTCCACTCAGTTCCCAATCTGTTCAGTCCAGACAGTCCAAAAAATTGCAAAAACAGCCTGTTTTAAAATCTCTGTTTCAATAATTTCACAAAAACCAACTCATTCATACATATCCACCTATTCAGCCTATAGCAGCTTAGCTCCACCCACTCACACTGATGTCATAAGGAGCGTTTCAGCCTGGACTGCTTTCTAAATGTGGTACAATTCAGGACAGCCAATCAGAACAGATGTCATTTGCATAAATCAGTCTTAAAGACACAGTAACAAAAACAACCCGTTTAACTCTGACGCCTGATTCACACATGCTAACAGTGTGGCCTTTCATATATAAAGCATTTTTACTGCGGAGCGGAGCAGCGAGGAAGTTATACAGACATTCCTTTTTCTAGACGAATAAATAGTCAAACTCTCTGATATAATATCAGATAAAATTTACAAAAGTGCATGGTACATTTGTTTACTCACAAAAGCATTCTGACTCGTGACTGGGCGATGGTTTCAAGCCTGGTAGACCAGACGGAAGATCCGTTTGCAGCATGGAACGTTTAACTAGTACTTTTTTGATAATGTTCATACATTAAATTAAATTAAATTAAAGAATTAGCCTTTTTAAAGTTTTTACTGATTTTTTGGTTTAATTTTCATTGTATTTCAAGACTTATTTTAGTGTACTTTGCTGCGTGACCCGCGAGTGGACTCTTGGTCAATTCTCTAAAAGTACCGCACCACTTCCGTGTGACATCTGGGACGCTCTTACACTTCACATGTGCAGCCAGTGTGAAAGCGCTGGCATGTTAACATCAGCACCGATATGAAGATCAAGCCGTTCCCTGTCACTCACACCACACAGAGGTAGTATGAGTGAATTAGGGCTTAGGGAAAAAGAAATGTTGTAACTGTTTCTGGTACACAAAACCACATAAATATTATATGTAGATCTTAAAGAAAAAAATTTAAAGAGAAGAACAATGTAGGATACGGCTCTTTTAACACTGAAATGGACACAGGAGTAATCACGGTGATCGTGTGTGAACTCAGGCTTAATCTTTGTCAACTAAAATAATTGTGCATTTCAGTAAAAGAGGTGATTTGTAGTATTTTGCCATCTTTAATTTGTACAGAAAAATTTAATTAATCTAGTAATAAAGAACAAAATTTGAAATGTTACATGTACCATCCAAGGCCGTTTGTCTGTGGCTGCTTAGCTTAACCTTTTTGTTTTAGGCTATTCTGCCTGATGTCCAGCTGTACGAGAGCAGAGACATGATAGGATTTTTCTTGAGACCCAAAGCTGTTTTATTTGATGTCTCAAATCTGAAGCTGTGAGGATGTCCTAAAACGTCACTGTAACATGGGCAGCTTTTAGTATGGGCATGATATGTGCATCCCCAAGCCTCCTTCTGAGTGTTTTCAACCAGTGCAGCTCAACAGCTGCAGTTTTAGAACACTTTCATCTATATTAGGTGCAATTAATGTATTATTAATGTAGGTTATCTCATCACCCAGCATGTTTAACAGTTTAGTTATGCTCACATGTGGGACTACTGGTGTCTTATTATTGTCTGCATGAAATGAATAAATGAGCTTCATTTAAAAAAAAACAGCGATAAATGAGTTTTGACCATCACCAGGGGCTGTTACCACGGTAACCTAGTTAACCCTCACTGGCAAGAGGCCTAACAGAGCAATGAAGAATGGAAACAGAAGGAAAAAGGGACTCATTCATAGTAATGCATCTCTTCCCCCTTCATTGTTTCTGTAGTGTCGTAACCCTATAGCTTAATTGAATGTGAGCATGTATGCGGCGGCACAGCGCTGTCAGAGTCGGTCCCAGTAGTGCTCCGCAGGATCAAATCAATCACTGAGTGCTATTACAGCAAAGCCAAGGCACGGCTGCTTTTAGCATTAAGTTAGTTCCACTACAGCAGACACAATTTTTTAAAGTGATGCCATTTTCCAATTTGGCCGTTTCAGTACAATAGCCTTTTACCAAACAGCACATTTTAAGCAATTACTTGAGTTAAAAGTTAAATTAAACAGGCAGGTTAGTTTAAAATGTCTAACATATATTTCTGAAATAACCTATTTTTCCTTATTAAAAATAACTGGGTTATATTTACCTTCTGGTCTTGGTTTTGGCCTCTCCAGGCCACCATCCTGCATCAGCTCGAATGCAAAGGACACATTATGCACCTGCAGCAGAGAAAAAGCCATCATGTAAAAGGCAGTTCTTTTCAATATAAAGTATGTTAATGGGGCTATACAATGGTAAAGTGGTGAAATAAGAGGTAGCTGTACTTTATAATCATTGTTAAAAGGTCACTCCACCATCCATGACTGCAAAAACAGGCCATTTAGAATTAATCATGGTTGTGATTTCATTAACCTGAACATTCATACTGAAGTGATTTGGACTGTTGTTCCTACAGCGTGTAGCAGAGTGAAAGATGTGGGGAAAATGGCTGTCAGGAAGTAAACTGATAATTTCAGCCATCCTATGCAGCCACACATCTGAAAGGAGAGGCTGAAGTTTATTTTTTCCCCGCATCCCTGAGGATTTGAGTCTGAATTTAACACCTAACACCACTGTTATTCCAGCAATGCTATCACCACAACAGCGTTTACATTAGACCTCAAAAGAGCCGACTACATTCGATTAGTTGATTATAGAAAATGCCTCACTTGCAATGATATAAACGACAAAAATGGAGAAACAGATAAATGATTAGAATCTAGAACTGAGAAAGCAGAAATGGTGATAAGTAATAAAGTTCGTACATTTATTAAAATAACAACTTTAAAGGCTCTTCTTATCTCTAAAAAGAGAAATACATTTTTTGTACAGTCGATTTCTCACTGACTCAGGAACATGATTATTAAATTAGTTGATTAATTAGAAAAAAAGTCAAAAGATGAGCTGATTACAGAATTAGTCATTAGTGTCATCACTAATTACACCAATTCTGCTATAAACATGTAGACACAGCATCAGCGATTTAGGGATAAAGAGAGTTTGAAAATGGTGATGCAATAATGAATTATGATGACATCAAAAGCAAACTTTAAGGGTGGGGGAGAAATAAAATCCATTAAAAATATGGAATATGAGCCCTTTAAAAGGGATAAACAGATGCATTTCAGACATGACTGAATGTGAATAGCTGAGCTTTGCAGAATGCTGAACTCTACTATGTGGAATGACCGACTCTCACTGAATACCCAACTGTGGGCCGTGTGTCAGAAACTCATATCAATGCACACCACACTCTTTATTTCTGCTGTAAATACAAACCCAGCAGTCCTAAAAGATGGACAGCAAACAACAGCACAGCAAAGCTGCTAGCTGGTGACTGAGCATCTGTGAGAGATCTGCAGCTTTGGTGGCCGTAGTATAAATATGTGTTGGTGAGGGGGGATTCCTTCAGGCCAAGTGCTGCTTTCTCTTCTACACTTGCTCCATTTTCCTCCATCTCTTTCATTCTTTCTTTCCATTTATGGTTACACACATGCACTCTGGCTCTGTAAAGTGTTCTGTCTCTTTTCCTCCATCTCGCTCTCTCGCTCTCCAGCTGAATGCTAATCTCCGTGTCACTTCTCCATTTCCTGCACGGAGGCAGATTACAGCTGTACCCTGCTGCTACATGCCCAGTTGGCCCGGGCCGGGCGTGCTGGAGCTGACCCAGGCGGACGGCTGCCTTTCTGCTCGGCCAGCTGACAGCACCATCCCCCCCTCAGGACCCTCAGCACTTCACATTATAATGCTTTAGAATACACAATCAGTACGACTGAGCAGATTCAAATGGTAGCCTTGCACAACTGTCCTGAAAACCTGCCAGCTTGTACTTTGTTTCACTCAGATTCAGTCTGGTCATCTCCACTTTAGAGTTCCTAGACTTAATGGGATACTCTGGCCAGTAACAATCACCACATCTGTTGTAAACATACAGAACATAATAAAGCGAGACATCCTGGTTTAAAGACCGGGAAACCCCCTTCTGATGATGCACCTTGAAGGTGGAAGTAATTTTTAAAGACTGTAAGTGTTTTGGGGTGGATAGTTGTGAGCTGTATAATTTTTTTTACGCTAGTTGGTTAATGCTTTACTGAACTGCTCCCAAAAAAAAAAAAAAGTCCAAAAGACCATTTGAATTAATACAATATTACTAATGATTGCTGGCACTACAGACAGATGTACTTATTAGCATCTACACTCTCAGAAAAAAAGGTTCAGAACTGTCACTGGGGCAGTACCCCTCTTGTGACTGGGGTGGTTCTCTCAAGGGTTCATCTCAGTACCTTTAGTCAGGGAACATAATTGTACCATAATCCACAGAAATTATATTCTCTAAGCTGTATTGACTCCACACACCCCGTCTCGTCTCCAGGCTTTTTAATTTTATTGTTCAGTTTTAAAATATTAGGTTATGAAAAGATACAAATACGTACTTTTCACCTGGAAAAACTTACTTAAGGTGCAAACTACACCTTAAAAACAACTGTTGTACCTTTGAGGGAACATTCACATTGTAGCTTGAGGAATGAAAAATGTACCTGCATAGAACCTTTCTTTCTAGATGTAAATTAGCTAGCAGTCAGGATTTGGCATAATGCATGCTGGGTATTGCAGTTAGGCAATGCTGAGAATTCTGTTGAACTGATGAGGTTGAGGAATGCAATGCTGCACTACAGACTTCCTAACAAAACAAATAAGAAATGACACACTAGTTTTAGGCCTGAATGACCCTTAAGAAAGAGCCAACCTATGAAGCAGCTGTTGGGAGATCATAACTCCTAATCCTCATTAAGCCAGGAGTCCAAGACAGCTTAATCGCTTGACTGACTGCAGTGCAAATGTTGATGAAAAATCATGGCACTCAGTTTTGAATGCATTTTTAAAACATGGCACAAATTAGGAAAAATAAATATTGGGATGAGCATCGTTAAAACGACTTCAAAGATATGTTTGAGATAAATCTGTCATACTGCCCAGCCCTGCACTGTCAGAAATAAGGGTACAGTACAGGAACATTTTCATTACCCAAGGCACATACAATGTAAATGTACTGAGGGTACAACAACTGTGAAGCTTCAGTGAGTTTTAAGTCTATATATATATATATGTATGTATATATATATATATATATATATATATATATATATATATATATGTGTGTGTGTGTGTGTGTGTGTGTGTGTGTGTGTGTGTGTGTGTGTGTGTGCATATTCTTTTTCCCAGGGGAAAAGCGCATAATTTGTACATTTTGTATAATCTTGCTTTTTAAAATAGAAGACAAAAAAAGTCAAAACAGTGTGTATCGAGTCAATGCAGCTTAAAAAATAACTGCAAAACTACTGAGGGACTGACCAAAACAGAAAATCAAAATGAAAGTTCATGGATTTCAAGATGTATTAGGCTACACAAGTCACTGAGTGTTTTACATGCACTCAATAATCCAATCATAATCGGATTTCTGCAGTTATCTGATTATTCAAAGGGTCATGTAAACAGCACACTCTGATTTCTTATATCAGAGTAAGGCCTTGAAATCCAATAACGAGAGCTGGATTTTAGCTCAGTAATCAGATTTCTCAGTGCATGTAGACTCTTACTCTGATTTCTTTCGAATTTCTCCGTCTGCACATGTGCGAAAACAGACGACGGTACCGGAAATAAGCAAGCAGCGCTGCCATGAGACGGCAGCAAAACACCTTTGGAGCGACGCTGAAACTACATGCTTGACGAAATAAAGGATTTAAATATTTTTCATCTTCCACATGATGTACATTCATAGTTTTAGGTAAAAGGGCGCAATGTTTTTTTTTTTAACCAAAAAAAAAATGCGCTATTAAGTTTGAGTTCTTCTGTGAGTTTATTGGCCGGTTTCAAACCAAAAATCTGATTACTGTCTGACTCATGTAGACCCGGAGTTTTTCCATTACCTGATTACTCAAGTGCATGTAAACACGTCGCTCGGATTACTGACAAAACCTGATTTTCTGCAGTTAATCGGATAATAAAGCGGATGTAAACCCATTTATTGATGATTCAGCAAGTTCACACCTTTTGTTCAAAGTTTTCAGGAGTGAGGAAGAAACTGTAGAGAGGCACAAAGTAGCCCTCCAGGAGTCCCATCAGAAGAACTAGGTACACACCATCTGCAAACTGAAGACACACAGCAATTACACCACAACATTATACAACAACCAGAAACAAACCATCAGTAATGGAGATAACTATACTACTGCTGTGTGAATGGATAAAGCATTGTATTGATCCTGCTTTGGCCAGAGATTATTTTTTTTATTTAGGGACAAAACACATTAATCAACCTCAATATAAAATGTTCCAGCGTTTCACATGATTTCTTTTTGGCAGGAGCCCCTGAGGCCTGAGGTTATAAGCCAGGAACAAAACTGAAAGCTCATGAGTTACAGAACAGCCACATAAACACAAAGTGCTGATTTAGCTAACGCACACCTTTCGTTCAAAGTTTCACCCAATCTTAGCTGCAGGTCAGTACCTGTGTGTCCAGTTCGGCCACTTCCAGATTCAGTTTATTCAGGTGTTTGTTGACAAAGGTGATGAGAGTCTGCACAGAGTTCAGCAGTTTCAGTCTGATAAAGTGGTATCGGTTTCAAACCATTGACTAATATGTTAATTGTCTGGATTCATTACCTTCTTCACCACACTGAGCTTGTCAGGGGCGTGGTCAAACAGGGTGTCGAACGCATCACGCTCTATGGGGAGAAAACAAAAGGTTTTGGAAATCTAATGAAACAAACAAATGAATTATTAAAATGCTGGGTAAGTAGTAAATACTGGGCAATTAGGTCATCCTCCTAACACTTACCATGCCTGCCTGATAAAGCCCTATAGAAAAAAAACAGACGGGAGATCCAAATCAGGTTAGAGGAGGTTAAAGAACAACAGAAAGGCTTTCACAAACATGAAGCTCTACCTTGATCGAGCAATAAGTCTCTGACACTATTTGGGTTAAATGTAAAGGAATTATTACAATTAAAACATAAATATAAAGATTTTTATTTTACCCTTTTACCCTTGCACACATACACCGATCAGGCATAACATTATGACCACCTCCTTGTTTCTGCGCTCATTGTCCATTTTATCAGCTCCACTTACTATGTAGGTGCACTTTGTAGTTCTACAATTACAGACTGTAGTCCATCTGTTTCTCTGCATACTTTGTTAGCCCCCTTTTACCCTGTTCTTCAGTGGTCAGGACCCCCATGGACCCTTACAGAGCAGGTACTATTTGGGTGGTGGATCATTCTCAGCACTGCAGTAACAGAAACAGATGGACTACAGTCTGTAACTGTAGAACTACAAAGTGCACCTATATAGTAAGTGGAGCTGATAAAATGGACAATGAGCGTAGAAACAAGGAGGTGGTCATAATGTTATGCCTGATCGGTGTATATTTCATTCTGGTCTGATTCTGGAAAATTTCATCCCACCAACCAGCTGCCTGAGCAGCGCACACACAACTAGTGATAACAGACACAAACACACCCACACACACCCACACACTCACACAAACATGCACACACACAGAAAGCCCCCAGCTGCTGTGGGCCCTTTAGAGTCCATCAGCACAGGATACATGCGATGAAGATAAATTCATGATCATTTTCATTATATTATTCAAAAGTTCACAGTTTTTTTTTATTTTACCTTAAATGTAGTAAATCACCCGAGACAACTTTGGTGTATGAAGCTTCTTTTGTACTGAACTGAAGCTACAAGGCTAATGTAGTGGAATCTTATGCCCCACTATTCAGCACTGGGCCAATTTCAGCTGACAGAATACTCAAAAGAATAACTATAATTCATCAAAATCCTCAAAAGGACACACGAGACAAACGGAAAAAGAACAACTATAATTCATCAAAATCCTCAAAAGGACACACGAGACAAACGGAAAAAGAACAACTATAATTCATCAAAATCCTCAAAAGGACACACGAGACAAACGGAAAAAGAACAACTATAATTCATCAAAATCCTCAAAAGGACACACGAGACAAACGGAAAAAGAACAACTATAATTCATCAAAATCCTCAAAAGGACACACGAGACAAACGGAAATGTCGAGCAACATTTGTTTTGAAGCTACTAAATTGTATAATTTCTGATTATCAACTTCTTCACTTCTTGTATGATTTGAAAACTCCAGCTACCTGCACCGTGTTAAAAATGAACATCTGAGGAGAGCAACAGAAAAGGTCCAAAAATACCTGGAAAATTATTTTCATTACAAGTTAAGAATGTTTTTTTCCCTCTTCTGTAAAGTTAACTGAAATTTACAGGGCCCATTTCCCCTGAGTTTTGTGAAATAAAAGAGTTAGTAGTTATATGTAAACAGTGTTAAAAGTTCCATGTAACATGTAAAATGTCACTCCATTCACCTCTGTCCATACAGTCCATATATGCAAACTAAGCTACAAAAACAGCCCATTCTGAGTTAACTGTTTATGTGGATGTATGTAAATGCAATGGTTTTCATGACATTACATATTCAGCCTACAGTAGCCCCACCTACTCAGGGTGAAGCTGTAATGAGTGTTTCAGCCTAGACTGCTTTTTGAATGAGATAGAATACAAGACGGCCAATCAGAACAGAGATTATTAACATATATCTGTCTTAAAGGCACTGATACAAAAACAGCGTGTGTAGTTCTAAAGAATACAAGAGGATGAATAAAATCGGTTTTGCTACATAAACCCACACAAATATCACAAGTTGAACAAAAAGTAAGTACAAAAAAGTAAAATACAATAAAAATGTATAATAAGGGCCCTTTAAATTACAGCAGCATGGACTTACTCAGTGTTGCCAGTGATCTCCTCCTGAATCTGACGAGACTGTAAGATTCCCTCTCGTTTCTGGACAAACAGAAAGAAGAACACGACTGAATGAAGCAAAGAAATGTGACTGAAACATCTGGATAAACTCACAAGCTCCGAAAGACACTCACTTCACACACATAACGGGTGTAAAACAAAAAATATTCAGTTGAGGTTGATGTGGCGTCTCAGTCCGTAGGAATTTGCAAGTAATTCACCTGACTCATCTGTTCTCTACCTCTAAAACCTATTGTGCCAAATGTCTTGCTAAAGATTCAGAATCTTTATCTCCTTTAACTGTTTTAAATCTGAGTAGTCAATATGGATGCATGCCCATGTTGGTCATAGTAACATAGATCAGCATGTGGAGTTCATAGTAACATAGATCAGAATGTGGAGTTTTCTGTGTGTTATCATGTGTTCTATCAGTGAGTGTGTTTACATGCACTCAATAATCTGATCATAATCAGATTTCTGCAGTTATCTTATTATTCAAATGGTCATGTAAACAGCCTACTCAGATTTCTTAGATCAGAGTAAGGTCTAGAAATCTGATCAAGAAATCTGATAACGAGAGCTGGATTTTAGCTCAGTAATCAGATTTCTCAGTGCATGTAAACTCTTACTCTGATTTCTTTCGGATTTCTGAGTCTGCGCATGTGCAAAAACACATCGTTTACCAGAAATAAGCAAGCAGTTTGGAGCGACGCTGAAACTAAATACACGCTTGAGTACAGTGTATTTAAAGTGTAAGTAAAAGTAAATTGGTCCAATGTTTAAAAAAAGCGTAGCATGAAGTTTGAGTTTTACCTTACATCACGTCTTCTTCTGTGAGTTTATTGGGTGGTTGCAAAGCAGAAATATGATTACTGTCTGACTCATGTAGACCTGGAGTTTCCCATTATCTGATTACTCAAGTTCAGGTAAATGCGTTGATCGGATTACTGGCAAAGTCTGATTTTCTGCAGTTATCGGATTATTAAGTGCATGTAAACACACTCACTGTATAAAAGAAGCTCCATGCTTGAATGTACTGTAATAGTTTCTGAGCGAGTGTGCACACAGATTCACTATGGAAACACTCATCACTGACTTGTTTCATCAGAATAAAAACTGCTCAAAATGGTAGCCCGGGACACAAACAATAAAAAGCTATGAATCTGTGTCTCACATAAGAAAGTAAGTGAAACTGAAGCACTGAGTAATAACATTATTAAAGGAGAAGAGTTGACTTAGAGGCACAAATAGCTGCTGTTTGCCTAGATATTTAAGCGTTTGGCAAGTTTAATGCTAAGGCATCGTTTACACTCCCTCTCTTCAGTCATGACCATTCGAGTTCTCTTACCTGAACCACCACCACCTGAATGGACACATGGTCAGGGAGGCGGATTGGAGCTCTGAAGTGCTGAGAAAGCGCCACCAGCAAATGAAGGATGGCCACGATGCTTTTAGCATGAACCGCTAACAAAGTAGCAGAGAAAAAGAGAGACAGTCTGGTTTAGTGACCAACTAACTGAACAAATTATTAAATGTATTTAACAATTTAGTAAAAAATATGAAGGATAGAAATAAAATATGCTGTTTATTATCCTCCCAGACTCAAATGGGAATTTAAAATGAATTATCCTTGATAATATACTGTGTAATAATAATAATAATAATAATAATAATAGTATATTTTCTTTGCACAATTACAATACAATAAAAATTTAAGCTGCTTAAAAGCACTGTATATCATCACACACCCTAAACTGGGTTCGTCTTAATGCCGGTGCAGTCTGTATACAGTCCTGTGCAAAACATACCACCCTTCATTGTTTCATTTCCAGTCAAAAATGTACAAGTTATTCATTTTTGAGGACATATTTCTGAGGAAAACCAACAGGAAAAGGAGTTTCTAAAACTGGAGCTCAAAAAATGATGAAAAGCTACAGAGAAAATGAGTCTCCTAACAACCACCTGGAAGACAGCACTGAAAGCTTTCATCTTTGAGAGAGAGGAGAAAATCAAGCTGCTTCAGATCTGAAAACATCCAGGTGTTTCTGTCCATCCTTCCACTGTGAGACAACTTAGCACTATGGGTCTGAAAGGATGTGAACGATGGATCAGAACGATGGACTGACCACCCCAGAGTTTAGGACAGCTTGGATCATGAGAAGCGAAAAAACAACCAACTTCTAAGACTTTGGAGGTGTGAAAAACTCCTGCAGATTTCTCTGAAAAACTGAAAGTGAGTCTCCTGAAAAAAACAGAAGCTGTTATAAAGGCAAAGAGTGGATACTTTAAATACTGAAAATGTTATTATATTATATTTGTGTAATTTACTGTTTAATACGTTTTCTGCTTGAAAAAACTTAATGGCCTTCTGAATGAGAATTAAACAAAGGATGACTTTTGCACAGCACTGTAAGTCTTTGATTGCTCTGTATAACTAGCTAGCCAGTTTCCCCTTATTTACTCTTAGGAATAAATGTAGGAGAGAGTACGCTAGCAATCCAGAACAGTAGGTAACTTATTTGGACTGCGCTGAGCAATTAAAACAGACATTATCAACTCATGTTAGAGCTCTAAAAGCATTTGGAATAGAGTCTTGACGGCCATCTCAACAACACCGATCAGGCATAACATTATGTCCTTGTTTCTATTCTCATTGTCCATTTTATCAGCTCCACTTACTATATAGGTGCACTTTGTAGTTCTACAGTTACAGACTGTAGTCCATTTGTTTCTCTGCATACTTTGTTAGCCCCCTTTTACCCTGTTCTTCAGTGGTCAGGACCCCCATAGACCCTCACAGAGCAGGTACTATTTGGGTGGTGGATCATTTTCAGCACCGCAGTAACACTCACTGTCCACTCTATTAGACAATCCTACCTTGTCAGTCCACCTTGTAGATGTAAAGTCAGAGACGGTAGCTCATCTGCTGCTGCACAGTTTGTGTTGGTCATCCTCTAGTCCTTCATCAGTGCTCACAGGATGCTGCCCACAGGACGCTGTTGGCTGGATATTTTTGGTTGGTGGACTATTCTCAGTCCAGCAGTGACACTGAGGTGTTTAAAAACTCCAGCAGCACTGCTGTGTCTGATCCACTCAGACCAGCGCAACACACACTAACACCCCACCACCACGTCAGTGTTACTGCAGTGCTGAGAATGATCCAACACTCAAATAGTACCTGCTCTGTGAGGGTCTATGGGGGTCCTGACCACTGAAGAACAGGGTAAAAGGGGGCTAACAAAGTATGCAGAGAAACAGATGGACTACAGTCTGTAACTGTAGAACTACAAAGTGCACCTATATAGTAAGTGGAGCTGATAAAATGGACAATGAGCTTAGAAACAAGGAGGTGGTCATAATGTTTTGCCTGATCGGAGTATAGTGGAGATTCTGGTGGGTTTTCGTCCCTCAACACTGGCAACAGCCACTGCCCAATCACAAACAGTGTATTTTTGTGTGGGGTGCAGGCAGATCTCTTGTTTTCTGTAGACAAAGTACTACCGCACTCTCCTGGTTTCTAAGTTAGCAATTAGCTTGAAAAACAAATCTAGCCAAATGCTAGCTTGATGCTAAAATGTTGCCTAAAATAAACTGGTGCACCAAACTGTGTTTTTCATAACAGAGGTAAAAGTATCGGTTAGCCACATAACCGGCTGTATCATATTCAAATATTTTTATTATCTAATTTGTATTTGTTGCGGCCCTAAACTGTAGCTAATTTAATCATCATAAAAAACTCATGCTAGGTGCTGTAGTGAAGACACTTATTCAAAAGCCTCTTCACTCGCAGAACTTAAAACAGCTGGGCACCTGCTGGGATCTCTAATAAAGGCTTTAAACTCGGTATTAGAGGATCGACAAATCACTTCCATGTAATGCAAAATCAATAGGCTTGTTAAAATGCCCTGACCCATAAAATTCAAACGGCAGTTGATCAACACAAAAGCCTTGCACTCTCTGCTTCAGCTAACTGGAAGCACACAAACTCAATAGACCTGCCTGAGACAGCGCCTTTAAGTGTTATAGGCTTTGAACAGCAAAGCTAGCATTTGTCAATCAGAGTGTTAAACCTGTTACACATTCCTTTGTCCGTTTTGTTTGTTGCTGCAAGGTCAGAAAACACAGATCTTCACGTTGTTAATGGCAGATTCCATCGCCAACCACTTCCCCCCACTTTTACAGAGAATTCCAGAGGCTTACAGTCGACGTTCCACTTGGTGTTCCTGGTGGGGACTTTCAGAGCATCGTTGATGCGCTCCAGAACCGTCTGAAGCTTCTGCTTCTGAGCGATCTCAGACTGTGTCACCTCCGCAACGTTCAGCTTCTCACCCTCAAGCTTCTCTGAAGGGGCCGATAAAGATGGGGAAGAATACGGAGGGTGACAAAAAGAAAACAGGAGATGAAAGAGATGAGTGATTATGCAGACATATCATTTATGCGTTTGTGCTCAGTTAGGTTTTTTGAGTCTACAAACTGATAGGATGATAAGCGCCTAGTGTTCCTGCACTGTAGTAAAGAACTGCATGAGTTATTTATTTGCATTATTTTGTGTAGTTAATCGTGATTAACCATGTTTGTCTTATTTGCTCAAATTTGACCACAAAGAAACAATTTTTTCCATTTTAGGCAGTATGTTTGGAGCACGTAAATAAGTTCAATCATAATGTATTTATTACCTTCAATCATTTAATAACATTATTTTTATTGCGTGATTGCAGAGTTCACATGAAATAAACATGAAATAAACATGAAAATCATATGATTTCCACCGAGTGAAGACTCTAGTTTTCATCACCAGTGTCCAGTGAGAGCAGCAGTGGCTGCAGGTTTCAACCAGAGATTGTATATATCATACAGTCATATGCAAAAGTGTGGGCACCCCTGGTCTAATGACATGTTTTGTAGTTTTTTTAAGTGAAAATAAGTGAACACATAACACTCTACAGAGAACACACTTCTGCACACTTTACTGTACAGTTACTGTTTATCTTCTGAATTTAACATATTGGGAAAAAAATAAATAAAATGTGGCCTGTGCAAAAGTTATGGCACATTTTTTGTTTCATTTTATGTTTTTATTTTAACTCAATAAGTAGAATGAGTATAAATAAGTAGAAAATCAGTAGAAATTGTGCAGAAAACAAAATCACTCAGATCAATATAACATAATTTGGGATAATAACTTCAAACTTTTGCGTACGACTGGTCATATACACAGTCAATTGTTAAACTCGTCTGTGATGGTAGCATCACACTCTTGTTTATAGAGCTCACGGATTCTTGTTACAGTGGATCTCGTGACGGGAACTGGAGCTCCACTTTGCTGTTGCTTTTGCTAGTTTGCTGCTGGTTGATTTATCCATAGTTCTCCCCTAAGCACTGTCAAGCATAGTCTGCCCAAGTTACTGATTTAAAAGCCATTTAAAAGCTGTATTTGAATGAGAGTGCTACAATCATAGATTCTATAGTAGCAACATACAGCACGCTACAGCTGGGCTTCAGCCTGCACTACTACAGATGGTTTACAAGATCACGTTTTTAGGGTGTAACCCAAGGGTTTGGCAACCCAAAAAGAGCCATTTTGTCCTTTCAACAAAAATCAAACTACCTTGGGAGCCACAACATTTTGTGTCCATTTTACCATATTGGCTGTAAATATGTCTCAGTGTGTGTTAATGTACTAGTATAAGATGAAAAAAATATAATATAAACGAAATCGCAGGCTTACTTTGCTCTGCTTTAAGCTTTAGCTCAGCTATAGCTGCTTTTCTCGCATCTCCGGCAGGAAACTTTTCCGCAAAAGTGGAATAGTGTCTTGTAAAATGTCTCAATGCTTTTCATTCACCAGCTTCTTGTTCAAATTTTCCCGTTCCACCTTAAATGATGCCTGAGGCGCCAGAATGTTACTGCTGCACCATTTGAAAATTCGTACAAGAAGTTGGAGAATGAGAAGCTGACTACAGCTTTGCGTCTTTTAGTGTTTGACAGTTTCTTGTTGCAGATTAAACTTATCAGGAAACCAGCTGGAGATCTTATAAAATGTCCATTAGTCTCCAAATTATCGATGTCCACCAAAAAAAATATTGTGCTGTTAATAATGTATGACTATTAACAGCCCATACATGTGTATAAAATGTAGATTTATCAACTATTTATCAACTATTTATATGTAAAATATAATGTTAGTCAACCAGGAACTTTTCAGCTGCAGTCCCAGCCTTAAACAATTCAAATAAAAAAAGTTTACAAGTACTAAGCACACAAATGAATACTAGCTTCTTTTGAAGAGAACAAGAAGATTACACTCACCAAAGAGCTTCTGCAGAACCTGTCCATCATACAAGTCTTCTGCCAGGTCCTTCACAATGATCCTCTCTCCCACCAGCACATCATTGATCCAGTCAATCAGCACCTGATTGAGGTATTAAACATTAACCAAACAGTGATATCTGCATATTGTGGCTAAAAGGCCGTATGATGGAGCTCCTTATTCTAACCTTGATGAGTTCCTGCAGTTTACTGTCTTTTTTGGAGTTTGGGTCAACCATGGTGCGAACTTCGTTCTCCTCTGTTAGAAGAGAAAGATGAAGACACTGGTCATTAAAAGACACTGATATCATAAAGCAAAGGCTGTCAGGTCCTCCAAGTCATCCAACTTAATGTCTGTGTATTCAGATTTTACTTTCATCAGATTGAATAAAGCACTTCAGTACTATAGAGAAATGAAAAATTCTGTCTTTCAGCACCAAATTTCAATAACGGAGTATTCAGTCTCATCAGCATCAGAGCCAATCAGCACATTTATTCCAAAATTGATCAGCTATCAAATTTAAAGTCATACGCATATTATTAACAGTAAGTTACAAATATCTATATACCTTATATATATATCTATATACCTATATATATATATATATATATATACATATATATATATATATATATATATATATATGCATGCTTGCGTTTGAAAATGTATCGAAAAAGTACTGGTCAGAAATTATCAGATTAAAGTCATCTGTACCAACTGTAACTGTATCAAATTTCCAATGAAACCCAGTCTTACCATTATTCCCAGTTTCAAGTATTCTCCAACCCAGCAGACCTTAGCATTGGCTTTATAATCAGTGGATGCGCTGGTTTTAAATCTGATAATTAGAGGCTTGTGAAAAGGTTGGAGAAGGAAAATCACACGCATGTGAGACTGAGAAGTGTGTATGAGTGTGAGTGTTCAGTACCCAGCATGGTGTCCTCTGGATGCAGCTCATATTGAGTGGGGCTCAGTGGTAGGTTTATGGCATTCATCCCCTCCTCCTGCAGCTCCGACACTACAGCACACAAGACAGAACATGACCAAGAAATTAATATTATTTATTTGAACTGTCAAAAATCAGGAGTGTAACAGTACAGCACATCATACCGTATCATGTGATAATGTTGTATGATCTCTTTCTGCTGGCTTCATATTGGTCATCCTGCCAGCGAAAGGGTAATCAACTTGTTGGAAATTTATAATAATATAATAAAATAAAATTGTTTAATTCAAAATAATAAAAATTTAATTAAATCATTTAAAAATTTTCTAATTCAATAGATTCAAGGCTAAACTAAAGGACAATCAAAACAGGCTGAAATGGTGTTTTATGCTACCGTGAGAAGTGGTTAAAAAATTCCAGTGATAAGGGACTTAAAACAAGGTACACTGGACTAGTATTTCATATTCAACCGCGTTCTTTTATTTTAGAGCTGCAAAGCCTAACTAGTTACTACAGACATCTTAAAAACCATTTAATTTTCTAAAAATATATTTTTACATTCTTTAATCTACACTGAATTGATGATTGATGATTGAAAACATATGACCATTTTGAATTTGATGCCAGCAACACGTTCCAAAAAAGTTGGAACAGCAGGATGTTTACCACTGTGTTGCATCACTTCTTCTTTTAACAATACACCAACAAGACCAATTACTGTAGTTTTGAAAGTGAAATGTTTTCCTATTCTTGCTCGATATAGGATTTCAGCTGCTCAACAGTTCGGGGTCTTTCGGTTTTATAATGCGCCAGATGTTTTCAATGGGTGAAAGGTCTGGACTGCGGGAAGGCCACTTTAGCACCCAGACTCTTTGACAATGGAGTCATACTGCTGTAATACACGCAGAATGTGGTTTGACACTGTCTTGCTTAAATAAGCAATGCCTTCCCTGAAAAAGATGTCATCTGGATGGCAGCATATGTTGCTCCAAAACCTGTAAATATCATTCAGCATTAAAGGTGCCTTCACAGATCACACGTCATGTGCACCAATGCACCCCTATACTGTGTGCTGATAACAAGCTGAATGATAAGTCCGGAGAACATGGCGACCATGTTTTTTCAAAAAGAATTTCAAATTTTGATTAGTCGGACCACAGAACACTTTTCCACTTTGCCCCAGTTAGTCTTAAATGAGCTCGGGCCCAGAGAAGGCAGCAGCGTTTCTGGATCCTGTTTATATATGGTTTCTTAACTGCATGGTAGAGTTTTAATATGCATTTGTGGATGCAGCGACAAATGCAATGGCACCTGAGGGCCAAAAGATCACGGCCAGAGATCTTCCACCAAGTGTTTTTTTAACACTACAAAACTTTACCAGTCTTTTGTTGCCCTGTTCCAACTTTTCTGAAATTTTGCTGGTACCAAATTCAAAAACAATAAAATCTCTCAGTTTCAACATTTAACTAAATAAAGGGTTTCAATGATTTGCAAATCACTGCATTTTGTTTTTATTTACATGTTGCTTTTTTTGGAAATGGGGTTGTAGTTTTGTTGATGAAGCTGGTGTGAACCACGACAGAATTAAAAAAGTCCTCATGAACAGGCCTTTATTCTGGCATGCTGTCATGCATTGTTAAGAGAGGCCTTTATTTTGACATGCTGCAGTGCTCAGCAGAGAATCACGGCATGTTTGCAAAGAAAGTTATACACACAGTACTGTACAACAGTACATCAGTACCAGTAGATCCTCCACAGCGTCAGAAACACTTCTCTGAACAAGCAGACCCTTGTTGTACACTCGGCTTACGTCACACGGTACTATGTGGTATCGGATGTTGGTATCGGTGCACTTTTACGAAGTTGAGTACGAGTACATGATCACGGTATTGGGTCGATACCTGATACCAGTATGCTGCTAGAAATAACGGCACTATGCAGGTACATTTTTCATTCATCAAGTTACAAACCCTGTAAATGTTCCCTCAAAGGTACAACAGTGGTTTTAAGGTCCAATGGTGAACCCTAAATACATTTTCCCAGGTGAAAAGTACATATTTGTACCTTTTAACAATCTAATATTTTAAAACAGATCAATAAAATAAAAAGTCCTGGAGACGAGACGGGGTGTGTGGAGTCAGTACAACTTAGAAAATCTAATTTCAATTTCAATGGATTATGGTACAGTTATGTTCCCTGACTAAAGGTATTGAGATGTACCCTAGAGGGAACCACCCCAGTGACAGTTTAGTACCTTTTTTTCTGAGAGTGTATCGATGCATCCCAAGTCAGATCACTGCCAAACATTTTACTGCTACAGCTCTTCACATTTACAGGCTGCATTTAAGCTGATTAATCGATTATTAGGTGATACATTCACAAAATTAATATATATTCATGCTAGGGATGTAATGTAAAATGATACACGCTTTTCACTCACCTTCAGATCAGTAACTTTCACAATAAAAAAAAAAATCACCAAGGCATATTATTCATAACTCCTAAACCCCATCAGCCAATAACATAAGCAAATGCTGAGAGCCTTTCACCCCCGCCACTACCCAGCATGCACCACTGCACGCGCTGACATCTCCAGCCATGCCTGTAGAGAGCGGAACTTCCTGTGCTGGATTTCAAACCCCTCCTGCTGCGGACGACATCCGAGCAATCAACACCCTCTCAGCTCCTCACACGCAGCTGCTCACCCGCCGCCTCATTAAAAAGACGCTGCAAATTCATACAAAGGCTTAACGCACACCTCCAGCTCACTGATGCACCGTTACCTACTGCAACTATTCAGTCATACGTATAAAAAAATTCCACTTTCTGTTGAATTATGAAGGAATGGAGTGAGTTCAGCATTTAGATGATGGTGTGATATACATAAAAGTTTAATTATCTGTGCAATGAAAATGTTTGTGGCAAGTAGGGCTGCACTGATATCGATAACGTACGATACCAATACCAGTATCAGTTTTGGCAACAGAATATCGATACTACGAAGCAATTTCTGATGTGCACGTGCAATACTGAGTGACGCCTACATGCGTGCCAGTTGATGGAACTGAAATAAAGCAAGCAACAGGTGGTGTGGATTTAGATGACAGTTACATAACAAAAATAATGCAATAAATTTTGGTCTATTCTTCATTAAATTTACACACAGTGTAAAAGGCAGCAGGCGTTTTCAAATTAGGCCATCAAAAATGGAGATACAAGGTTTTCTTCCCACAGCAGCGATATGTAGCTTAACAGAGTGACATTTCTTACGTACACAAATAAAATGTCATCTGAAACTGATAACACAAAGATGCACTGATATGGGAATTGTGGGCCGATGTTGATCGATATTTTTCATGTACATATCTGCTGATGCTGATGCTTCAACGTTTATGATATACATAAACATGCATGACTGAATGTGCTTGGATTAGCATTACAGAGGAACGACATTCACTTCTGTAGGATTATAAATGCAGTAAAAGTGAATAAAAAGCTGTCATTAAACCCAGCATCGCATTCGGCTCTTCCAGAGTGCAATAAATACATCAAAATATCGATCAAATCTAAACTCCTGTCCAATCATTATATGTCCAATATTTTTAAAGGAATTCTCTGCTGATACGGATAAGATTCTGCGATGATCCTGCATCCATAACACGCTCTGAATTTGCTCAGCTCCCAGTTTCTCAGGCTGATCAGAATAACTGTCTACATTCTGTAGAGGTTGTGAAACCTCATAACAACGGCTGTAAAGGAATGTATATGTGGGCGGAGCATGAAGAGGTCAGTCCCAATACGGTAATCTGATCAGTGGTCTGTCTGTGTGTGTGTGAGTGATGATGGAGCTGAAGTGAATGATGAGGTAAAAAGAGCTCCTACCTGGACAGAGAGCACCACACCCCATCCCTCCTCTCCCTCTCCCTCTCTCAGCATCCTCCCTTTCTGCAGACACACCCTCTGCTCACTGTCCTTCACACAGACCCTCCCCCAAAGAACAGCCTCTCTCTCTCCCTCTTACATCTCTTACATTTACACTCTTCCTCTCTCTCACTCTCTCTCCCACATTCACCCTCATCTCTCTCTCTCTCGTCTTATCTTCACTGTCTCACTCTCATCTCTCTTTCTTTCTCCCACTCTCATTCATCTCTCTGACCCTCCTCTTACCTTTGTCTCCCTCTCATCCTCCTCTCTCTCGATCCCCTTACATTAACTCTCTCATGCTCATCTCTCTCTCTCGCTTTCTCTCACTCCCAGACACCTCTCTCTTTCATCCTCAGGTCTCTCCTGCTTCTCTCTCTCACTTGCATCTCTCTGTCTCTCTCATCCTCATGTCTCTCTTTCACTTTCTCTCTCATCCTCATCTTTCTCTCTCCCTCACTTTCGTTCTTACCTTCATCTTTCTCTCTAACTTTCTCTCATCTTCATCTTTCTCTCTCTCTCACCCTCATCTTTCTCTCTCTCACCCTTCTCTAGTTCACCCTCATCTTTCTCTCTCCCTCTCACCCCATGTCTCTCTACCTTCTTGCTTTCATTCTAATATCTCTCTCTCTTATCATCATGTCTCTCTCGCCCTCATTCCCCTGTCTTTCTCCCTCCTCTCTCTCTCTGTCTCAGACCCTCCTCTCTCTCTGTGTCTCTCTCTCTCTCTGGTCAGGCTCTAATAAAACGGCCGTGTGTCAGTTAGCTGTGACAGGCTAATGGAGACACAGAACCATCGCAATGAATCACACGTAAATGAACACTGGAGCACAACCAACGTCCTCTGATCACTATTCTTTACACACGCTCATGTGGAGGTAGAAGAGGGAGAGAGAGAGAGAGGGGGGGGGGAGAGAGGGGGGGGGAGGGAGAGAGAGAGAGAGAGAGAGAAAGAGAAAGAGAGAGAGAGGCTCTGCTGTACTCATCTATGGTCTCTAGTCTTGTGACTGAGGAAGCAGAGCACTCTGGGTGCTGTGTAAACTCAATAGCTGATTTTTAATTTAAAATAATACTCCAGCATTTTTCAACCCACCAACTGCTACATACCTGTACTGAACCTGCAGTCACAACAGACAACAGTTTCCCTGTGC